GCTTCAAAATTGTGTGATACCAGCAGTAAAGAGCAAAACTGCAAGAACCACCAGAGAGGTAAAGAAATCACTGCAAAACTTTTAGTCTTGGAAAAGGTGAATCTTGGGGCCCAGAAGCAATTATTTGGTTTTCCAGTATATGGGAAAAGTATGTTCACTTGCTGAACTTTCCGGTGTTCCACCATGACTTTGGAATGAAGCGAGGCCAACAACCAAGGTGACTGTATTTGTATGAAATGAATTGTTCCCTTTAGTTTGGAATACAAAGGCTACACAAAGGAGCCAGTAAGCTGGAAAGGACTCCAGTCACCAGAGAGGAATGGGTAAGAGGACATTAGCTGGGAGAATCCACATTAACTAGCACTTGGCTCCTCCCAGGGAGAGGCCAGGTACAAAGGTGGGTTAGCTCCATTGTACCACATCTGCAGGTCATTCAAGAGACTCTGGAGGTGAAAAATATTGGCAAATTTTGAAATATTGGCAAATTTTGAAAGTTGAGCCAATTCCTTGTGTAGGCCAAGGAAAGCTGGCCAAACATAGCTGTCAAATCAGCCTTAGCCTCTCCCAGATCCTCACAAGATCTAAGAAAACTCAGCCACACACAGCCCTGACTTCATTCCACCTGACAGGATAAAGCAAGGGTTTTTTTGTTTTTGTTTTTTTTTTTTTTTTTGCTACAATGGGACTGTTATCAAAGGTACACAAGGGAAAAGAAAAGGTGATGCCATAAAAATAGAATTCCCACAGAAAATAGTGATGTACTCCATTTCTACACTTCCATAACTTTGCAAATCCTATTCTGGGTAGACTTTACAGTGTAATAAATATAAATCTTGAACTCTGTAAGTCACTATGTGATATCAGCTCGACATAAAGAGCAGTACATAACGCTGATTTCTGATCTCTACAAATATTACTTGAAGTCCTGTGTTTACGTTTTAGAATGAGATTTGTTTCCTTAGCTGTAGTCAAAGGTGCCCTGTGATCAAGAATTGTTGATAACTCCTGTTAAGTACATGGCATTAGGGTTATCAACAATTTTATTGTGAATTTAACATTTGTTACTAAGCAATACATTTGCAAGGATACCAGTTACCAGAAACTTGTATGTTGAAAATGTAATTTTAATAGATAATTCTTCATCTTACATAGGAGCACAATAAAATACACCACATTCTGAAGAAATGTTGGAAGTCATGAGAATACGAGTGAGGAAAATGCAGATGGGCTACAATATCCATTACCTCAAACCACAAGAGACAATGATCCCGACCCAAGATTACATTTACACATTTATGACTGGCTTGTAAAAGGTCAAAATA